TTTAAATAAACTATAATAGAATAGAATAGAATAGAATGATGTGTTGGTATTGATTGCATCAAGCAATCATACCAAAAAAAGAACTTAGAAACTGAAAATGGATAGAGAGTCAAAGAAAGGAACCCTGTTGAAAAGACACTTTGCAGGTGTGATGAGTCGATGCCTGATCGATTTATTGATTATGACTAACAACCTGTTGTGGTTACGCTACTGATTGCAAAAACAAAACATGCTTTTCCATAACAACTGTCATTATGCTGTGCTGTTTTATGTGGCGTTTTGAGGTATTATGCGTTCTCATAAATCAGCTGTCATGTAATCATACGGGGTGGAATGACATGAAACCGTGACGCAGGGACTCATTCCAGCACATGTGATAGGCTACGGTTGGGCACTTGGGCTCAGACTCACCTGGAACAGTCGCAGTATATTTGCGACCATGATGGACACTGAACTCGCCGAAGCCCCTATGACTCCGATCACCTTTTCGGGCTTGACGAACACCGGGGGCTCTCCGTTCGTACACCTCACATCCGACGTGTCTTTCTGTATGAGAGCCTGCACAAAAGTAAGCGACTGCTCCAACGCGTACGTGTCTCGCGAACATGTGTCTAAAACCCGAGCGCCTAAAGTGATGTTGGGCAAAAGCTCGTCGTCACTGTTGATTTGGTCCAATGCATAAAGCATCGCCTCCAACCTGTGTATCCCGTTCTCCTTCTTGATATCTCCACACGGTTCCCCGGAGACCCCGCGGGCATGGACCGGGAAAAGGCCACCCAGGGTCAAATCCCCCTCAATTCTGATGGAATGAGGCGCGTAGATTTCCTGCGAAAGTGTCACATCCACAAGCGCTTGAATTATCCAAAATACCCGCCATGGAAAGCAAGCCATGTCTCCTTGTCGTTGGGAAACAGAAAAAAAAGGCACTTTTCACAGTATTTATTGGTTAACAAAAACAGAATCGATATCAATAACGGCCATAGAGCCTTTCAAAGTAAGGTTGATGTGGAAATACGTTGAGGTTTTCTCCAAGAACAGAAGGATGCGTTATTCCTTGGGAAAGTGCGCATCGCATGGCGACGCTTGTTGCTTAGATATTCTGCATGATTTCTTTTAATAAAGAAAAAAAGACAGAAAAACAAATTAAAATACGTACAGTACCTCTTTCTATGATTTGTCCTTAAATCAAACACACGCAAACCGCATTAAAGTGCAGAGATATTCGACTAAAACGTCCGATCCACGCTGATGTCATAACACCACTGTAAAACCATCGCGACTGAGTCTTAACGGATTTTATTTTTAAAAAAAGTAAGGCGGCAAAAAAAGTTTTCGTTCAGAATGCCGCGTCGCGTATAACGGTCAGAGAAAAAATGTTGCAGAGAATCGACGTCAGGTGAGATATCCGTACCATCCTCCCATTTTTTCGCTCGGAGCAGGTGCTGCTTATTACATTTGAGAGAAAGCAAGCAAGCTTAGGCGGTGATACGTCTTTTGGTCTTGCGAAAATCCCCACAAGAGACAAGAAGACAGCCCCGCGTGTCTCCTCCTCTCTCTTTCTCTCTCCCTCGCTCTTTCTCTCTCCCTCGCTCTTTCTCTCTCCACTCAGAATCAAATATGGATTTGTCAAATGACTCAACGCACGATCGATTGTCATGTTACTCATCCTGGTCAGCCCTCAAAGAAAATACGCTCCTGCATGTGAGGAAAATCATTAGGCGATATAGTCATTAAACCCAAAAATTAATTGTGAGGAAGGAGGGATGTTGCAATGGAGGTCTCACTAAGTTTCCAGCATCGGTTCCAAAGCTCACGGTAGTTGAATGCGGGTTTAACGTTAACATTTTCACCACATCATTCTCTGCAATAGAGAAAGAAAGACTTCTCAAACGTTTAACCCTATTTGGATTAACTCCTCATTCACCTGCTTGTGTTCCGACAAAAAAAAAAAAAAAAAAGAATTGCGCACGACATTATTTCATTGTT